AGAGAGAGAGAGAGAGAGAGAGAGAGAGAGAGAGAGAGAGAGAGAGAGAGAGAGAGAGAGAGAGAGAGAGAAGCGAGGATGGTCCCATGCAGAAAACAACGAGTGCATATTATCGGCGCAGATGGCCCGATACATCCGTTGCTGATCATTGTAACCGACGTATTTAGCCGCTTCTGTATAAAATATGCACGCGTTTCTTCTTTTTGTTTTCGTACGTGAATCGAAGAGAAAAGTCCTCCCTCTCTCTCTCTCCCTTTCTCCCTTCCTCTCTCTCTCTCTCCCTTCCTCTCTCTCTCTCTCTCTCTCTCTCTCTCTCTCTCTCTCTCTCTCTCTCTCTCTCTCTCTCTCCGGGGGTTCATTCAAGGTTGACCCAGAGTTGATTCAAAGATGACTCAAGTATGTTTCGCGGTTGACTCAAGTTTTTTTTTTTTTTTTTTTTTCAAACAACAACCCGAGCGGATGCTCCGACTGTGCGCAAGGATGACACGCATAAATCGAGTGCTGATAAGAGCAGACACCTCTACAGTGTTCCCCCGAATACAACGTACGGTCATTGTAGCTGAATTTAGACTGAAAGATACCCCAAATTCAGCTATAATTACCGTCCGTTGTATTTGGGGGAACAAGGTAGCACCACCAGGGAGGCCCTATCTATATTGGTTGGGAGCAACACGTGGTGGAAAACGGGTTCCTCTCCTCAAGGTTGACTCAAGTTTGACTCAAGTCACTCAAGGTTAATGAAAGGCAAGTTTGACTCAAGGTTGATTAAAGGGGCTGACTCAAAGGGGGGGGGGGGGGGGGCTCACCAAGGTTAAGTCAAGGTTGACTTAAGAGAAAACTCAAGGTTGATTATAGGGTGGACTCAAGGGGGGGACTCGAGGGGAGTGAAGGGTGGCTCAAGGTTGACTCAAGGTTGACTCAAGGTTGACTCAAGGTTGAATCAAGGTTGACTCAAGGTTGAGTCAAGGTTGAGTCGAGGTTAAGTCAAGGTCGACTTTTTTTTACTTAAAAGAACCGTTATACAAGATTCGTGGACATGTGGTAGAACAGAGTGAAGACTCTGCAGAGAGGCAGGATGGTCATGGATGGGGGGGTTGGAGAGGAAGGGAGAGGGAGAGGGAGAGGTAGGGAGGGGGGGACCTGCAAGGTGGTCGGGATAGCGATGGCGAATTTCCGTTGTCGTCCTTACCTTACTGTGTTGAAGGTCTTGTTGAGATCCAGATGAGGTAGGAGAGCCTGAAGAGAGGCGAGGTGCTGGTGCACGCTGGCTGACGCCGAAGTGGAGCTGCTATCCCGACCATCCTTTCTGGATACGGTCTCGACCGCGGGTGCTGCAGGTCGGGATTGGGACATGAAGTGCCCGTTAGGCGCCCCCCCCCCGCCAGGCTGTTGTGCTGCTTGGCTCTTCTGACCAATCATGCCCACCATAGCCAAGGCGATCCTCGCGCCCGAGCCCGAGGAGGAGGAGGTCGAGCCCCCCTCGACTTCGTCCTTGGCCCTCCGATGAGCCATCAGCACGGCGTCGTCCCGATCCCGACAGACAGCGCTGGGCTGCCGCAGAGGGACGGCAACGACTCGGGTGGGTCCGCAGTTGAGCGACTCGATGGACTCTCCTCCCACTGCGGTCAACTCTGTCGGGATACCGAGGAGGCCTCCCACTCCCCCCCCGACTGTGCCCCGAGCACCCGCCGAACACAACGGCAATCCCATGCAATGATGTGGCCCGTCGGAACAAGAGGCCAGACCAGGAGGAACGAGATCGGGACCAGAGACTGGCCGCCCAGTGGCTGACGCTGTAGTATGCCCGCCAGGACTCAGCCCGAATCGAGACGGCAGCACATCCGTAAACATGTCGGAGAGAACCATATCCAGGATCGACCCCCGTCCTCCTCCTCCTCCTCCTCCTCCTCCTCCTCCTGGACCTCCGCCTGCTGCCGCGGCCGCTGCTGGGTAGGAAGAAACATCGACGCTTAGGTCACGGGGGAAACCAACCCCCCCTGCGGTCGCCATCGATGTGGCTGCTCTCCCCCAGCGGCGCGCGTGTCCTTCCCCCTCCCCCTCCCCTTCCGCTTGTCGTACCTGCCCCTGCGTTCGCTGCTGCTGGTGTGGGCCCCACCACTGCCCTAGCCCCCCGCCGTATCCACCCGATGAGCTCCCTGGGGTAGCTGTGTCGTGATTCCTCATCGTCGGCGCGCAGTTGCCCATCAAAGCTGCCGTGGAAGAAGACGAACATCCATCTTCCCCCGGTCGTGGCCGAAACATGGAAGCCCGGCTCGCCATCTCCATCGACCCGGCTTGCGATCCCGTCGCACCCATCGAGACAAAGTGATCAAACCACTCCATGCTCGCCGAGGCAGGCGCTGTTACTGAACCAATCAATCTACGAGTCTCGATCACAGACCCGCTTGCGATCCCGACGTCCGCCGCGTGAACAGATTGCACCCAACCGCTGTGCCTGCTGCGCTCGCCTCCTGCTCCCGGTGCAGCGTGCCAGATCATTCGCGGCACATCGACGAGATCCCGACCTTCTCTCTGAGTCGTTCTTCCTCCCGCCGCGGTCGTGTTAGATAAGGTCGGAGTAGAGAAGGGGAGAGAGAGTCCGGAAGGTGGTGGTCCCCACAAGTACTTTCCAGCTCCGCCTGGGGTGGTAATCGTGTGACCCAACGACCTCTGATGGTGGTCGTTCGACAAGTCGTTGGCCGCCGCCGCTGAAGAGGAGCGATTGCTGCTGCACGGACCGGTCGGTGGATGAAGCGGCGATGGCGATGGCGATGGCAGCATCCCCGTCTCCTGAGCGGCCATAAATACTGCTCGTTTGGAATAAGAAGAAGCGGACGAAGAGAAAGGCGTGGGCGAGTCTCTTGCTCCTCCTCCTGCGCCGGAGATTCTTCCTCCTGCCCCTCCCCTCCTTCCCCCTGTGGAGGTCCACACTGGGATCACCTCGGCCGCTATCCCTGCTGCATTTGGAGTTGCAGATGGTCCGGCTGCCACTGGCAGGCCTGCCATCAGCGACGTACCGCTAGGCAAGGCTGCTTCGCCTGCGACCGAGGCTGCTGCTGACGGTGATCTTGCTGAGAAGGATCTGTCGGTGGACAGCCAGCGGCAATCAGAAGATGATGTGGTAATCAACGGTGAATGACCAATCACTTCGGAGGTAGGCGTCCAATGATGACCAACCACACTTGGCGGTGTGCCTGCTCGAGCTGGTCGAGTGCCTCGGTCAGTGTCCAGTCCCGTAGCTACGCGGCTAGTACTTGCGGCCTTGATGACAGTAGCACATGGGCGAGGGGATGACAATGAATTAATATGCGAAATTCCCCCTCCCCCTCCCCCTCCTCTTCCTTCTCCTCCTCCTCCTCCTCCTCCTCCTGCAGCTCCAGCTCCACCTCCTTCTCCTACCTCTCTTCGTAGATGGTTGGCAGGCAGGTGAGACGGTCCGGCCGAGGGGCTGTCATCAATCCTGCCTGATCTCGACGCTTCGAACCCCACTCGGCCAGACAAGATTGTGTCCAGCATCAACCGGCCTAAAGATCCCGATACCGATACTTCGCCATCGTTACGTCCTGCTCCTCCTCCTCCTCCTCCTCCTCCTGCTGCTGCTGCTGCTGCCGCTGTCCTCCCTGCTTCTGCCATTCCTCGCGCTCCTTCTGCTAATCCCGATTGAGGATGGGGTAATTGAGTGATTCTATATCTTTCAAACTCCGTTGTGCTGATCGATGATCGGTCCTTGGCGAAGCTCCAGGGGCCAGCGGAAGTCAGACCCGTCGACGGCCCCGATCCCGGCACTATCCCCTGGCTGTAATCCGAGGTCCTGACGACGACGCCCGTCCTTACCATCCCTCCTCCTCCTCCTCCTCCTCCTCCTGCTGCACATGTCGAGACTCCGCTAGCCCCCCCAGCAGTTGACCGTCCACCTTCCTTGACTGCCGAAGTCAGCGGGAACCCGACCTCCCGTGTCTTCTTCGGCGGCTCCGTCTCGTCATCATCGTCGATCACGATCAGATCCTTCTCCCGCCAATCCCCTCGAAGCTGCGCGATGGAGCCTCCTCGCTGTTGCTGCTCAATGGCGCCTCCCTCTCCTTTCGCCCCTCCTCCCCCTCCTCCCCCTCCTCCCCCCCCTTCCCCCCCTCCCCCTCCCCGTTGTGATCTCTCCTCCTGCACCGAGAGCACTTTCCGCTGCTGCTGAGTCTCTCTTCCTGCCTTGTCTGAATACCCTCCTGCCGAGCCTCCTGCGGACCTGCTGCTGAGCATCAAGCCCTGGTGATACTCCATTGACCGGAGGGTCTGGACCGACGATGACGGCGATGGCGGCAGCGGCGTTCCTGCTGAACCTTCGCCCGCTGCCTGCTGGTGATCTCTCGCGGAGGCAGCTTGAATTGATGACGTCAACGGGATTCCGCCTCCTCTGGTCGAGCAAGAGAACGACGGCACGGGCGCCCCCGGGGCCGTGCCGGTGTGAGTGTGCAGCCTGACCTGCTGCCCGAGGGGCGACAGGTCCCGATCACCCCCGACGGCAGGCGGCGAAGATGGGCAAAAGCCCGCCGTCATCGATGGCTGGGAGAGCCTCCCGTAGGCAGCAGCAGCAGCAGCAGCAGCAGCAGCACTGCCGATGCCGCCGCTCTTGTTGTTGTCGTTCGCCATCGCTTGCGCAGCACGTACAGCTCCGCCGAGTTGAGCATCGATGAGAGATGACGATAAGAAACGATTGGGACCACAGATTGCAGACGAAGCAGCCGCCGTCATCGATGCGGCCGGGATCGGGATTGCTCGAGAGGATGATGACGGCGGCCCTCTTACCGGCGACGCCTCGGGATTGGCAGGAATGTAACCGATCCGTCTGAGTTCTTCCTCACTGAGCAAGCTGCGCCTGCCCGCGCTGATCGCGCAGCCAGAACTCGTGTTGATCTTCGACAACGAGGTGCGAGGAGAAGGAGAGGAAGCAGCAGCCGCCATAGCCATAGCTCCAGTAGCCCCTCCCGCTGCTGGTGGTCCGGGTGCTCCTTGGAGGCCCCGACCCCCCGTGTGCAACCCCGTTCCTACGCCTAAGCAATGTCCGCCGCCTGCGCTTCTTCCCCCTCCTCCCCCTCCTCCGCCGGTTGACGCTGGCGAGAGGGCAGTTGCACGCTCCGCGCCTCCCATCGATGGCCGCTCATACAGGTGCGCAGCTCCCAGAGATACCGCTGAGCGAAAGTGCGCGACAGCCGGCGACGGCGGCGAAAACGGTGTCGCTGCCGCCGTCGCACAGCTTGCTGTGACAACACGATGGCCGCGGCGGCTCTCCTCTTCCTCCGCAGCAGCGCCGATGAAAGGAACCCGCGTGGCGATGGCAGGAGTCGGAGGGATCGAAGCCGCGCCTTTCGGTCGATAACGATGCGCGGGGGAGGAAGACGGCGAGGGCGACGAGGTTAGAGAAGAAGAAGAAGGGATCGCGCCGCCAGCTTCCGCCGAAGCAGCGCGAGGCGGGGAGAAGATGTCCCGCGACGTCGGTGTCGATGTTTCCGCTGTAACAGTTGCGCTTCCCCCTCCTGCCGCCGACATCCCCAAGGGGAACGCATGCGAGCGTGAATGCAGCTGCGAGATCGGCATTACTCCCCACCCAACCCGCGCCGCAGGCAATCCAACTGCCCCTCCTCCCCCTCCTCCCCCTCCTCCAGCTGCTCCCGGATAGCGTTCCGACGTCGAGACAACCATCGCTGCCGGCACGGCGGGAGCTCGAAGTGCGCCCAGAAGAGTCTCCGCGTCAGCGGAAGAAACGCCACAGGTTTGCGAAGCGGCGGGAGGACCGCGCGCACCACCGTACCGCTGCCCCACAGAACGGGCTGCGTTTGCGCCGGATGCTCCTGCTGCGCTGACTGCGCTGGCTGCGCTCGCTGCGCTCGCTGCGCTGGCTTCGTCCCCTCCTCCCCCCGCGCCGCCGCCACTCTCGTCTACCCTCGACATCGGCCCCCTTCGCCCTCCCATCGCGCTTCCCTCATCTGCTGCTCTCTCGTAGGAGAGCCGCTGATGATGTTGACGGACAAAGTCAAATCCGTTCCTTGCCGATGCGATGGAGACAGCTCCCGCCATATCCAAAGCTGATGACGACGAGGACGACGATGAGCCGCCGCAAACAGAAACAGTGATTGGAGCGGAGGAGGTACGCAAGTGGAGAAGCGCAGGACTCTCCCTCTGCTCCCTCTGCCCCGCGAGGAGGCACTGCGCGCCGGCCGCTGCCGCAGGGCCGGCGCTGTCGAGATGATCGCAGCTGCTCGTGCGGGAGCGAGATTGCCAGCTCCCACCTCTGCCGTCGCATGAGCCGCCACACTCCGTCGGGATCCCCTTCTCTTGCGCTCGACCCAACGAGCGCGCTGAATGATCGAAGGCGTTGACGGCAACACTGCCTGGCTGACCATGGTGGCGATCACTGGAAGACGGCGCCCATTGATTAGGAGGAGGCAGGTGCCAGTGCAGCGGAGGAGAAGAAGGAGGAGGAGGAGGGGGAGCAGGAGGAGGAGGAGGAGGATTGTGGCCAGTGAATCTGACGGCAGTTATCATTTGCTGCTGCGATGGGAGATGAGAGGAGGCGGAGGAGGAAGGCGGAGGCGCCGCCATGTCCGTCCTCATCATGCTTGCCGCCAGCGGAGCACGATCGCCATCGCTTGCCATCTCCGACAACGATAACGACTCTACTCCCCCCCTTCCCCTTCTTCCTCCTCCTACCGCTTCAGATGGACAGGAGGCCGGTGCTCGAGCGGGCGACAGAAGCCGATCGGCCCCGTAGAATGGCTGCTGAGCGGCAGCGGCAGCGGCGGCGGCGGAAAACAGCGGGCCGTCCGCCCCCGACTCGTCGCGTAATGCTGGAACCGACAGCTGTGGTGTTGGCAGTACCCGATGCAGGGAAGACGACGGCGCCTTCGCCATCGCGAACGATAGCGATCCCGACCCCAGGCTGTCGTCCCGACGCACTCTGTGCTGGTGGTAATCCTGACCTCCCGTCGCGTGGAATACTCCGTGAAGGTTCCCTTCTTCCCTTGAAGATCCCGACGCGGGCTGCGATAATGCTGCCAAAGACTCCGTGGCTGACGGCGAAACGCAAGCGGAAGATCCTACATCTCCTCCCCCTCCCCCTACTCCCCCCTCTACTACTCTATCTCCTGACACATTTGCTGCCGCAACAAGAACATCAAGCCCAAGCCCACAAGATGATGACCTGTTGCTACCTCCTCCTCCCCCCATAGGTGGAGAGATCACCATCGCCGTCGTCTCCGCGAGTGAGCTATCAGCTATAGTAGTGTGATGAGCAGCAGCAGCGCTGAGTGCTTCTGCTGCTGCTGCCGGTGGCTCGCTGCCGCTGCTCCTCGTCGGTTTGTCCCAGAACTCATAGGAGGCGCAGAGCCGCCGATCGTGCGCGATCAACGGGGACGAGCAAGAGGTGGTCGCCTCATCCTTGTCGTGGTAGTCGGGATCGCGATCCACGCGATGCTCTCGCTCGGTCTTGGCGGACGTGGGAGGAGGAGTGACAACCTGGCGCTGCTTCTCCTCGACGATCCCCCGTTCATCATCTTCCCCCCCTCGGATCACGCTGCTGCTTGCGACACGTGGCTGCAGCTCGGAGTTCGACTCGTTGAACGGGGGATGGCCAAAGAGCTCTCTCCCTGTCACCGGCCACCTCCCCCTCCCTCGTTCTCCATCGCCAGAAGATGACGTCAACCGTTGATCCTTCTTCATCAGCTTCTCCTCCGTCGAATCTCTCTCCTTCCGCCGCTCCGCCACCTTCCGCCGCTCCGCCACCTTCCGCCGCTCCGCCACCAACCGCGCATTCGCATCCCCTGCCTCCCAGCATACAAACACAGCGTCAGGCACCGACATAGCAGCCAGCCCTCCATGACGATCAGCACTACCACCTCCACCTCCTTGGTCTCCACCTGCTCCTCCTCCTCGAACCGTGTCCCGACAACCTCTCTCCGATGACGCAGTGGACAACCCCCTCAAGCCGCCCAGCTGGCCGCCCATCTTCTCCGCAAACCGGGTCCCGCCGACAAGCTCGATGCCAGATCGACCACCTGCACGGGACCTGCTCGACCTCGCTGGCAGCGGCGCACCAGTGGTGCCATCGCTCACGTCTCTCACAAACACATCTTTTTCCGCAGCTGCTTCCGCTGTGCTACCCTCCCCTCCTCCACCTCCCACTTCTCCTTCTTCCTCTCGAGAACACGAGCGATTCGTTCTGTCGACCAGCCCCCCTTCAGCCGCCGGGCGCTCACTGTTCCCCCCGTTCCAACCCTCTCTCTCGACACCTGTCATTTTTTCTGTCCAGATTCCTCCTTTCCTATTGCCATTACCTCCCTCTCCTTTGCCTCCTCCTCCTCCTCGTCTGCATCCGTACCATGGTTCCAACGACTGAGCGCTGCTTGTCCCGTACTGCTCGATGGCTTGTGGCATGCACACGGCCTCGCGGCCCTGCCCATCCACCTCCTCACCCTTTTCTCTTGACGCTTGCCAGCACGAAAAGGCAGGCATAGATATGTCTTCTTCTCGATTCTGCGGGGAAGCGCAATCTGCACTGACCCCTCGGCTCTCCCCTCCTTCATCCTCTCCCTCCCGTCGTTGAATCCTCACGTCCATTCCCCACAGGCGGAAAACGGGAGGCGTCGTAGTAGCCACGTTGGAAACCGATTGATCGTGGCCGGCAGACAAGGCGGAAATGCTTCGTCCTCCCATCCCCACGCAGCCAGATCCCGATCCCCCGGTCGCAGCTGTCGTTGAAATCGAGCAGGCGGTGGCTTGCTCTTCTCCTTCCTCTTCGTCACTGGCGACTAGCTCGTCTTCTTCCTGCTGCTGGCGATGGCGGTCACCGAGCTGACCGTCCGTGGAAGATGGACCAGGACCGGGCAGACAGACTGAGCTCGGCGTGCTCTCCACGGGTTCATTTGCCGTTGTTCCCGAAGTGGACGCTCCTCCGCCTCCTCTTCCTCCTCCTCCTCCTCCCACTCTATCTTCTTTCCATGTCGTTGCGCCCTTCGCCTCTGCTGCTTCCACCGGAGCACCGCCGCCATCGCCGGCGACTCCTTCTTCTGCAGCTCCTGTCGCCGAGCTTGCCCCGCGAGGAGGAGTCTCCTTCTCAGAAGACTCAGAGATACTTCCATCTCTTCCCCCGCCCATTCCTGCCACGTAGACATCATCGACCCGATCCCGACGATCATCTACAGGAAGGCAGGGACTGCAGGTGGCAGCAGCGTCTTCCGCCGCCGGCCTGGTCGCCGCAACAGCTTGCGCTGCAGTTGCCTGACTTCCACCCCCCCCCCCCCCCCCCCCCCCCCGCTTCTTCGCTCTATCCACTGCAGCTGCACTCTGCCGCTGCGAGGCTAGCTTCCCCTCTGCCCCGGCAAGCTCAATTAAAAAGGACGAACACGTGTGTCCCGATCCCGTTCGCATCTCAGTCCCCCCCTCCCTGCTATCCCCTTTCCTACCCCTGAGATTTTTCCCAATTTCTCCTCCACAGCCTTCCTCTCTCTCGTCTTTCTCCTCCTCCTCCTCCTCCTCGTCCTTCTCCTCCTCCTCCTCCTCCTCCTCCTCCTCCTCCCCTTTCTCCTGTAGTTGCCGACACTGCTGCTCGCTTATATCCACCTGATCGCCATCACCGACTTCTTTCAGCACGTGGCCATCTCTCATTAGCTGCTGAGCTAGCGACACGTGGTCTCCATCTACTCCTGCTGCTGCTTCTGCTGCCGCGAACGCTGCTGCTACCGTGACAGGAGGCAGTCTTTTCGACGGGTGGATGAACCCAGAAGAGCCAACGGTGTGAAGTGCTGCCGTGACGGGATCTGTGGGTGATGGGTCAACATTGAGACGTCGGTATCGGGACTTCAAATCTGGTGTTTCGGACGGCTGCACTGATCGCGAAGAGTCAGCAGTGTCTCGGGACTCCAGATTTGTCTTCAACTCTCCTAGGCCCCCATGGGAGTCGGTATCGGGATGGCATGCTTCTGCAGCGTCTGGTGTCTGCCCCGACCATCCAGCAGGATGCTCAGTCTCTCCCTTACATTGTGCTTCCGGTGCCAGCGAGCTTGGTGCTGATGCGGCAGATGCGGGAATCGATCCGCTGACGCGTTCGACTCCATCGCCGCCTTCTGGAGGCGGATCAGGACAAGGCGAAGCAGAAATCCCTCTTTTCTTTTCTTCTTCTTCCTCCTCCTCCTCCTCCTCCTCCTTCTCCTCCTCCCCTTCTCCCCCCACCCTCTGCTCTTTCTCCATCCCCTCCCCTTTCACAGGATGCGAGGCGGCTATGGCTGTCCCAAGCGAGATGGACGACTTGTCTTTCATCCGATCCTTCTCCTTCTCCTCCTCCTCCTCCTCCTTCTTTCCATCTCTTCTTACTCTCTGCTCTTCCTCTATGGCCATCCCTTTCACAGGAGAAGAGGCGGCGATGGCGGGGATGCTAGTGCAAAGCGAGATGGCCGACTTGTCTTCGGTCGGATCGGTACACTCAGCTCGATAACGACCAGATGCCAAGGGAAGGTCGATGGTAGAGGAGGCAACCTTCACCATTACAGGTTCGTCGTCTTCCCTTTCTTTGTCTCGATCAGGAAGAAGAGAAGGAGAAGAGGGGGAAAAGGATTGCATCGTCTTCATCGTCTTCATGCCAATCGACTCTTCTCCGCCATCTCCGTCCGGCGGTGCTTCGTGCTGATCGTCCTCCTCCTCCTGCTCGGACCTCCTCCTCCTCCTCCTCCTCCTTGTCTCCCCACGTGGCGTTTCGCATTGTGCGGCAGCAACCACGGAAGAACCCAGCAGCAGCGCGCTGCGCATCGTCATCGTCCTTTCCTTCTTTTCGCCGCCGCCTTCCTCCCTACCCGCCATTCTCTCCCTCTCAACCATCATCATTGCCGATCCCGACCGATGATCGCGATCACCATCCCGACGATCCTCCTTCTCCCCATTGCCGACAACCCGTCTCTCTTCCTCATGGGTTCCCACAACAGGGAGGGCTTGTCTCCTTCCTCCCTTTCCTTCATGCTCGTCCTCGTTCATCTTCAACCTCTCCACCTTTACTCTCCATTCTCCCAATCCCACCTCCGCAGTTTTGAAGCTTCTCCCTTTCCATAGCGACGGCGGTGATCGGTGCAAAGAGACCTCTTCCTCCGCAGCTCCCGTCCACTTACACGAAACTGCATTCTGTTTGCGTTGCACACAAACCTCCTCCTCCTCCTCCTCCTCCTTCCCCACCTCTTCCTTGTGCTGCAGCTGCAGCTGCAGCTTTGCAGCGGGTGTATATCGAACCTGATGTTTTTCTTTCTGCTTCCCTCTTGACTTTTTCCCTGATCGGATGCCGTCTTGCTCCAGGACCGCCTTCCCGTCATCCTGTCCTTGTTCCTGCTTTACAGCCACCTCCTCCTCCTCCTCCTCCTCCTCCTCCCCCTCCTCCCCCTCCTCCTGCTTGTGCTGCAGCTGCAGCTTTGCAGCTGGTGTATATCGAACCTGATGTTTTTCTTTCTGCTTCCCTCCTGACTTTACAGCCACCTCGTCGTCAGACGACGAGGAGAAGGAGGATTGCCCTTCTTCTTCGTCTTGTTGCTTGGCGGCCTGGATGGGTGCCACGTGTTGGTTCGTCAGGATCCGAGGAGGGATGCCAATCTGTAAGGATGCGCTGGATTTCCTGCCATGATTGCTGCCACCCTTCCGATGACCTGGCTTTGCCGCCTCTCCGTCACCCACTCTCTTGTTAATTACCATGATAATGGGGTGATCCTCTTCAGGGGGGGGTGGGTTGGTGGGGGCGTAATCTTCGACGGCGGGCGTGGGATTACAATCATCGGCGGTGGGGGKGGGCTTATAATCCTCATCTTCATCGGCTTGGCGCGCAGTGGGGGATTCTCTGGCACAGCGCAAGACATTCCCCCCCCCGACATCTTCATCTTCATCTTCATCGGCTTGGCGCGCGGGGGCGGGTCCGACAGCTCGCGATTCCGCCGCCCCGCCCTCCGTCATCATCAGCCCATCCCCCTCCGCCATGGACTCCCCCTCTCCTCCGCCTCCCCGTCGTCGACGGCGCAGATGATGCAGATGCTCCTGTGCAGATGAGGACGGCGATCTGGATGGCGCCTGCTGCTGCTGCTGCTGGAGATCCCTAGCCCGCGCACGGCCGCGGGCTGTCCGATCGCGCGCGCTCGGACGCTCGACTATCCTGTCGTGCTTCTCTACGTCGTCGTGCGCGTCGGCGGCAGAGACAGGATAGGGATACCGATCACCAGAGCCCCGCCGCTGACTCTGCTGCTGCATCTTCTCGATCGTTTGTGATCGGGATCTCTCCCCCTCATCAACGCTCGGGAAGTCAGTTGTTCCCCCGCTACGGACGGCGGCCGGCGTGCTGGGATCGGGATCACCAGCAGCATAGCCACGGAAGAGAGCATCATGTGTGCCGGCCATAGCCTCCTCCTCCCCTCTCTCTCTCCCACCTTGCTCTGTCCCGACGGCACCCAGCGGCTCCGCGTCCTTTCCCCCCCCCACAGTCTTCATGAGCCGAGGTTGGCTGCAGCTGTCCCCGCCGACGTTGGCGTTGTCGCCTTTTCTCGAGCGCAGCCATGGATGACGACGACTCGGGGCAGCCTGCGCAAGCCCGGGGGAAACCTGCGCAAGCCCGGGGGAGACCTGCGCAAGCCCAGGGGAAGCCTCGTCGCTGGCAGCCACATGCCCCCTCGCTCCCATGGGCGGAGGGCTCCCCGCGATTGCCATGACCTTCTTCTTTTGCGAAGCTTCCAAGCAGCCGGCTATGGATTCCAGCTTTCTCCTCTTCACCGATGGCGACTGGCTGTCTTTCCTCGTCGCCGCCATCGCCTTCGCCATCGCCATCGCCACCGAAACGGGGGAGGTCTTCTTCTTCTCCTTCTTCTCCTTCTTCGTTTTCCAGTCGCCCTCGTTTTCGTTAACCCGATGATCGAGAAAACGGTCGCGGGGGGGGTCATCATCGTCATCATGGAAGCGGAGTAAGCTCCCGCCGCCGCGCTTCACTCCCGATCCCGACCGCTGCTTCTGCTGCCGCTGCAGCGGCGGGGATGGCGCCGGGGCTGTAGGAGGATCTGATTTCGAGCCGGGACTGGACTTCGAGCCGCGGGGAGTGGATCGCATTCCCCCTCCTCTCGTACCGATCCGGATCCCGATCTGCTGCTTGCTCTGCCGATCGTCCATCTGCTGCCGCCGCATAAGCTTGGCCAACTCAGCAGTGCCTTTCTTCTTCCTAGCAGGCGGGGAAGATGGCCCACCGGCTCCCACCACGTCAGCAGCAGGTCGGGGTCGGGATATCGTTCCCGCCTTCTTGCCTGGTAGCAATACCCGCCGCGTGCCGGGCTCGTTTTTTCCCGCCATATCTTCTTCTTCTTCTTCTTCTACGCGCGCTTGCTGCAGAGCGATTGGCGCCAACGAGCGCATGCGAGGAAGATAACCGCCGTCCCCTTCCTCTTCGTCGTCATCATCATCATCACCGAGATCGCCGACGCCGTGGGCTCTCGGGCCCAGTGTGGCCTTCAGACTGACATCATCACCATCTCTTCGTGATCCTAGTTCCCTTCCTCCTCCTCCTCCCTCACCTACTCCTCCTGATTTGCCATTACGATCGGTGAACACGTGTCCAGCAGTCCTGCTGCTGCCCCCTCCTTCCTTCCGCTTGTCCTTGTCTAGCAGCTTTCCCGCCCTTTCTTCGTCTACTGATCGAGCTTCGCGCCCCTTACCTTCTTCATCATTCTGCTCCCTAGCCGATCGCATGCAATCACCATCTGCGCCTCGATTCATCTCCCCTGCCCTTCTTTCTGCCATCGACCTTTTTCCTCCATAACCTCGTGCTTCGAGTGACAACCGTGGAAGAACCTGGATCGACGACCTCGGGGATGGAGGAGGCTGCATGGGCATGGGAGAGGGAGGGGGTGGTCCATCGTCGGCTCGCTGTCGTCGAGCAAAGGCAGCGGCTTCAAGAGGAGAAGGAGGAGGAGGAGGAGGAGGTGGTCGTTCTCCTCCTCGAGAGCTCGCTTCGCTGGTCGGACAAGGGAGGAGGAGAAGATTTCTTCCTCCTCTCCCAGCTTTTCCACCATATCTCGATCTCGACTGCAGCACTTGCCTTGCCGACGAGACCTTCCCCCCACCCTGCTCATCCTCCTCATTTCGACGCGCAGCATCGACTATTTCTTCTCTTCGCGGTAGTTGTTTCGGGCTCCTTCCTTGATTGACACCACCACCTCCAGCAGCGGCGACACTACCTTTCCCGCCATAGCCTCCACTACCCCCAACATCCTTCCCCTCTCTCCCTCCATCCACTCTTTTCCTTTTTCTCCGCTTATCGCTCTTCACTAACAACGCGGCTATGACAACCGAGCCCTGCTTTTCCAGCTCATTACCCTCTAATAAGATCAGCCTCTCTCTCCCACCCCTCGCTTCCTCCCCCTGCAGATAGACGGCGCCCATGCAGCCGCTTTCCTTCTCCTCCTCCTCCTCCTCCTCCTCCTCCTCCTCCTCCTGCTGCTGCTGCTGCTGTTGTTCGTTAACTGCGTCGTCAACGTTTTTGCCGGCTCTCGGCAAACGTGGCGAAGATCCAGCTCTCTTCACCGAAAGCGCGCCGAGCGGACCCCTCCTTCCTCGTTCCGACGATTCCTCTGGCAGGTCCTCACTGCGAAGAGGGCCTCCGCCGTCTGTAGGCGGCTCCCCTCGCGCACCATGCGCCGCACGAGCGCCMCCCCCCCCCCGCCTCCCCTTGATTGCCCCCGCCCGCGCGCGGCGCCGGCCCTCAAGTTCTCCTCCTGCTTCGCCGCTTCCGACCACCTCCCCCCCCATCCCTCCCCCCTCCACGCTCTCCGTGACAATGGCGGCTATCGACTTCAATGTTGCAAGTCTCCTCTTCGCCGGAGAACGACGTTTTGGTGACGACCATGCCCTTGAAGTCGTCCCTCTAGCGTCCATTGCTGTTCCTGGTCCCATCGTTTCTGTTCCTGGTCCCGTTTCCGTTCCTGGTTTCGGTTCTGTTCCTGGTCCCTTTTCTTCTCCCGTCACCAATTCGCTCGTAAGAACAGCTGATCCTGATAGCCTTGCTCTTGCTGCTGTTCCTGGATCTGTTCCTGGTCCAGTTCCTGGTACAGTTCCTGGTACAGTTCCTGGTACAGTTCCTGCGATCCCTGCTTCTGTTCCTGTGTCCGTTTGCATTCCTGGTTTCGTTCCCGATCCTGGTTCCGTTCCTCTCCCTCCCTTCGCTCCTGTTTCTGTTCCTGCGTGCGTTCCTGTATTTGTACTTGGTCCCGTTCGTGGATCTGTACCTGGTCCCGTTCCTGTGATCCCTCTTCCTGCGTCCGTTCGTTTTCCTGGTTTCGTTCCCGATCCTGGTTCCGTCCCTCTCCCTCCCTTCGCGCCTGTTTCTGTTCCTGTGTCCGTTTGCGTTCCGGCTTTGGGTCCCGTATCCTCCCTTGTTCCTCTCCCTCTCCTCATTCCTGTTCCTGTTGCCGTTCCTGTTCTTATTGCCGTGTTTCCTGTTTCTGTTCCTGTCTTTTGCGCTCCATATTTGGGTCCCGCTTCCGCCCTCGTTGCTCTCCCTCTCTTCGCTCCTGTTCCTGTTCCTGTTCCTGATCCTGTTCCTGTTCTTGTGTCCGTTTCTGTTCCTGTGTCCATTATTTGCGTTCCATGTTTTGCTGCCGCTCCGGCCATTTCTCTTCCTCGTTTCGTTCGTGTTTCTGTTCCTGGTCTCCTTCCCGCTCCCACGGTTTCTCTCTCTCGCTTCGTTCCCTTCTCCGTTGCCCTGTCCGTTTGCGTTCCTGATTTCGTTCCTGATCCTGCTTCCATCCCCGTTCCCGATCCCAATCCCGATCCCGTTTCTGTCTCCGTGCCTCCCACCGACCTTGGGACCGCACCAGGAGAGCGCGCTGGTCCTGCCACCAGCGTTCCTGTTCCACCTACATCTCCCCTACCCGTTCCTGTTCCTGGGTCGGTTACAGCCTCTTCGTCGTTGTTGACGACAACACCTCCTGCAGCCGCTGCTAAGACTGACGGCTCCGTGGAGCAGGACATCGACGACACCCGATCGCCACAACGAAGTAAGCTCGCGGCGCCATCAGGAGGAGGGGCGGCTGCATCAAGCAAGCCTTCTAGCTTCTTCTTCAGAACGAGCCTCCTTCTCCCACTTCTCCTACCGGGAAGTGGTGATCGGGAGTAGGGCTTGCGATCGGGATCGGGATCGGGATTGGGATCATGAGGACGGTTCGCCAAAAGGCGAGCAGCGTAGTGATCATCAGACAGTCCGAGCTCGTAGAGTGAGTACGTAGGAGAAGCAGTAATCTCACAACGTGGAGCAGGGAGGAGGCTTTCCTTAGCTGCTGCAGAGGAGGGTGGTGTACACGCGTCGCTGGCCGTGATGTTCAGCACGGCGCGAGCATGAGTAGAATCCTCCTTGGGAGAAGCAGTCGCCTCCTCCTCCTCCTCCTCCTCCTCGGTCTTATCTGTTTGCCTCCTGTTCTTAGCTGCTGCAGCAGTGCGTGTCGTAGGTGCAGAGGTAGGTGTACACGTGTCCGCCAAGCACGACGCCCTCGCGGCAACAGAAGGGCTCGCAACCCCACGCTCCTCCTTGTTCTTCTCTGCATTCTCCCCTATCTTCTCCTCCTCCTCACCCAGCTCCCTTCCTCCCTCTCCCTCTCCTTCCGCACCCAACGCTGCCTGCTCTCTGCCCATCGTTTTGCGTACGTGGCAGCCGCCCCTCCGAGAGAGTAGGGATACGCTCTCTCTCTCCGTCCTCCTGCTCGTTCTCCTCCTCCTCTCCTCTCTCATTTCCTCCGCTTCGTTCTGCGCGGGAACTTCATTTTTCGCGGGAATGCTCTCGTCTTCTCCACGTCGTGTCCACGTGTCCCCCTTGACCGACTGAGTACCGCCATATCCATCCACGTTATCCTCTAGCTTCTTTCTCCCATGACACGCCCGGGAGGAACCCCCTGTCCTCAAAGGCGGGGCCGCTGCGACCGGTCGTTCTACTGTTTCCGTGTCCTCCTCAGAAAGGGTGGGGACCGTGACCGGTCGTTCTACTGTTTCCGTTTCCTCCTCAGAAAGGGTGGGGACCGTGACCGGTCGTTCTACTGTTTCCTCCCCACCACAACGGGTGGGTGTCACGACAGCTCGTCTTTCTCTCTCCCTTACGACATCCTTTCCGCCGTCATTGCACAGTTTGCCACCCGCAGCCTGCACTCCATTTTTCCGTTTACTCTCTTCTGCCCCCTTGTTGTCTCCGTTATCCTCTCCGTTATCCTCCCCTAGACTCTCCCGTCTGTTCTCAATAGCAACCGTAAGATGGCGTTGAAGAGAGTGCACATCCACCACTGCAGCTATGACCGCCGGTGAAGCTGCAGCTATGGCTGCCAGCGAAGACGACGGAGCAGGGGGATCGGTAGTCACCTTGCAAAAAAACTTTCCCACCTGCTGCGTATAATCTTCCGCTGACCGTTTTTCAGATCCCTTATGAATACCTCGACCATCGCCATCACCTTCATCATCATCATCATCACCAACACAACCACCACCATCGCTACGGAGCTCAAAACCGCCTCCACGTGGCATACAATCTCGACTACACGGATGCTGAGCATCTGCTGCTACCTCGTTCAGAACCATTGGCTCGTCTGCAGGCTCCCTGCCCTTACCCACCCCATCGCCATCACCACCATTCCCATCAACGAGTCCGCCATCGCTACGCAGCTTGGAATCTTCAACGCCATCACGACCACCGAAACCGCCATCACGACCATCAACGAGTCCGCCATCGTTGGACTGCTCATTCCCTCCTGGAGCGTTGAAAACGAGTCGGCCATCGCTACGCAGCTCTGGAAACGCAGCTGATTCTTCTGGAAGTCCCTTGTCTTTGCCTTTAACACGATCACCATCAACAACGGTGCCGCCATCGCTACGAGCTTCGATGCCTCCACAACAACTGTTCGACTGCTCATTCCCTCCTGGAGCGTTGAAAGGCTCTTGCAGCGCAGCTGATTCTTCTGGAAGCCGCTTGTCTTTGGCTCTAACACGATCATGATCACCATCAACAACGGTGCCGCCATCGCTACGAGCTTCGATGCCTCCAGCACGACCACCACACCCGCTACTTCTACTTCTGCGCGGGTCATCTCTTACGGCCGCCGCACTCACAGTTGCCACGGGTGAAGAACTACAACTGCTTTTCTTATTCTGAGTACTATAATTATGTTGATTATTATCTTTCTTCTTCTCCGGAGTGACAAGCCATCCACAAGCTTCGCTTACACTTTGGAGATCGTCCTCTTTGCAGATTTGATGTGCCACCATGTCTACAACTTGGCTCGGCTCGGGGACCTTTTGCAACGGGTCCTCTTCTTGTACAATTGCCATAGCTATGGCGGTTGGTCCGCCATAGCCAGCACCTCTACGCCTTGGAAGACAACCGAGAAGCATCTCGTCAGACAAAACCCTCTGCACAAGGCCATCGCCATCTACACCGCCGCTGACGTCAACATCTACAGCTGCTTCGCCAGCGAACGTAACATCGGCAGCAGCACGTTCACCTCCTCCTCCTCCTCCTCCTCCTCCTCCTCCTCCTCCTCCTCCTCCTCCTCGTCGTCGTCTGCATTGCTTGCCACCCAGCTTAGCAGCAGTATCACTTCCTCCTCCTCCTCCTCCTCCTCCTCCTGCTGCTGCTCCTACTCCTCCTACTCCAGAAGTTAACCCGACCGTGCGTAATGCGCGAGCAAAATCCTGCGCCGCGTCCTCGAACGGATTGTCCTCAAGCCAACCATCTTCCTTCTTCTTCACAGACCATCCATACCTTCGTCTTCTTCCTCCACGTCCGCCATAGCCATATGCGTCCGATGCTGCGCGTCCGCCATAGCCGTTTGGACTCACATCCAGGCCATCGATAGACATCACGGCCTCGGCAAGGATAGGTACCCTTTCTTCCTCCTCCTCCTCCTCCTCTTCCTCCTCCTCTTCTTCCTCCTCCTCCTCCTCTTCTTCCTCCTCCTCCTCCTCCTCTTCTTCCTCCTCCTCCTCTTCTTCTTCTTCTTCGTCGTCGTCGTCTTGAACGACAGCAGTCATTGGACGGCCCTTGAGAAACTTTCTACTGATACCTTCCTCCTCCTCTTCCTCCTCCTCCTCCTCCTCCTCGTGCTCAATGTGATCCCCTTCGTGATCGTTATCACAACTGCCATCGCTACTGCTGCTGCTCTCTTCGTCTTCGCCGACCGCGTCTTCGCCGGTCTCTTCTTCTTCTCCATCGTCGTCCCTGTTGGGATCGGGATCATCATCATCAGCTTTCCTCAGCGCACCTGCATAGGGATCATCCTCGCGAACCCTCTTCCCGCGCTCAGAGCGCGCCGAGCTATCCATCCACGGGGAGCCTCCTCTCTTCGTGCTCAGAGCGCGCCGAGCTATCGATACACGCTGGGTTTTGCTTGGCTCTCGGTCTGTCGGCGATGGCGACGGCATCGTCCTCCTTCCATCTTCTGCCCCTGCCCCTTTGCACGTCCTCCCCCTTCTGCTGGTCGTTCCCGATCCCGATCCCGACACCGCCCCCTCTCTCTCCGTTGCACCAGGATGCCCGCCGTGACCGCCATCGCCAGAAGCTTGAAGCGCACTCTCCTTCTTAATGACCCTCTCTCGTCTGGCCTTGTGTCTCTGGCTTCCAGGAGGAAGCGGGAGATCGGGAGGAGGCGGGACATGCTCCTGCTCCTGCTCCTGCTCCTGCTCCGCCCCCCGCCCTTCCCCTCCCCCTCCCCCTATCCCGGTCCCCTGGCCGCGTAATCTACCCCCGCCTTCCCCCTTCCCCCTCCCCACAGGCGCGTTCTCCCCCCACGCGGCTCCCCCATCTTCCCCCGCCCTTCCACTTTCCTTCACGTTGCCGTCGACGAGCCCCTTCTGTTCTTCTTCTTCCACTTGCTGCGCCGTCCCGACCCCGACCAACTTGTCTGCACTCCGCAGCCGGTACTGCGGCCTGATCGGGACAGATGACGTCCCAGCCGACATGGCCGCTCCTGCCGATGCAGCTGACGTGGAAGCGGGTAATCGCCGGACCGACGCCGTATCTTCCGCGAAGTCCACGTCAGCTGCCGCCATAGCTTCCGCTCCAGCGGCTGACGTGGCAGCAGCATCTTGGCTGTTCTTCCTAACGCTCCTTGTCGACGACGACGAAGCGAGTAGTGGGCGGGCGATGGTCGTCCTCTTCTGCTTATTCTGCTGCTGCTCTGTGTCCCTCCGCACGTGCGCTCGAGGCCTCTTGAATCTCTGATAGCCATGACATTGATGACAAACAAAAATAATAAAAAAGCCATAGCCAAGAAGATGCCACACGATGATTAAAACGAAATTCGGGGGTGGAAAAAAAAAAGGGAAGAGAAAAAAAAGACAATAGAAAGAGCCAGCGCCATCGCCAAGAAAAACAAAGGTTAGGACGACGTGCGGAGGGACATAGAGCGTACTAACACTACCGGTAGCACAATCTTAGATGTATCTGACCGTAATCAGAGCACTTTTTCGAATGCATCTGACCGCAATTACGTCCAGAAACAATCTAAGAGTGAGTATGCCCACATACATCCAGCGCGATATGGCCAGCCTCTACTGCTTGTGCTCTTTTTTTTTTTTTTTTTTGGCTATGGCGCTGGCCTCTTCAACCTCTCTGATCACCTCAGGCCAACGCCTTCGGCACCCAAAAAAAAAAAAGAAAAAAAAAAAAGAAAGGGGCGCAAGTATCAATACTTCCCGAAATGGAGCAAAAAGAGCGATCTACTGAAGGCCATACTCACACTAGCACCATCGTAAATGTATCTGATCGCATATAATGCCAGACGTGGATGTATCTGGCCGCAGTCACGTCAAAAAATAAGTAAAAAATCCTACGTAGTGTGAGTATGCCCTAAGGGCACGCTGACACTGGGGTTCCAAATCCTCATAATCCCAAAAAATCCCAAAAAAAATAGTGTCGAGGGATGGTCACACCAGATCTCATTTCCCCAAACTACTTATTCGTGACCCCATTTGACAGCGGCCTGACGGGCCCCAGGGCGTACTCACACTAGCAGTATCTCAAACGCATATGACCGCATTCACGGCCATACCTTATCTGCCGCAATTCCGTCCAAAATGCGTAAAAAAGTCCTAGTGTGAGCGTGCCCTCAGGAGGTTAAATCAAATTCCCTTTCTTGTTTGGAATCAACCTTCGGAAATGTAATGACCCCATTAGAAGACGAAGATATTTGTAGGCAACCAATTCTCTTTTTTTTTTTCTTTTTTTTTTTTCTTTTTTTTTCAAAGGCAACCAATTCGGACTGCTGTATAGTATTAGCCATCAGATCCCTTTTGTAAGTAGATGTGAAGCCTTCGGGGGCCAAGTCCCACTTCCCGGAAATCTCAATTTCCGACCATAGATTAGGAGGATCGACGGCCAAGAATGAAAGATCAGCGTAAGTGGGACTTGGCCCCGGGTCACATATTGCTTGTTCAAATTCATAACAAATGTTCAGCGACGCTGGACCCGATTTCAAGCAGGTGCTGCTCCCCACCAATGGATGCAGTCTCCCGGGGGACCTTGTCCCACTTGCACCGTTTAGTTGAGGCAGCTCAACGGTGCGACAGCTAAAAAAATCATTTTAATTCAATTTCAAATGAGAAATGCATTTATAAATAGCAGGAATACAATTGTTCTCGTTTTTCATTTTTCACAATTGGAGTGGCATACGGGCACTTCCACAGCAGAAAATGAAGAGGTGCCCGAATCCCGTCCAAAAATGGCAAACGGAAGGAGGCTCGTACAGTTTCTCTTCAAAAACGCCTGTTGGGGGAACAAGAGGGTCGTTGAACTAGCTGGCGAGGGTAGGGGTAGTAGTATTCGAGAGAAAGGATTTATTTCTGTTTTTTGTTATAAGAAAAAGCGAAGATGGTCTCTATTGCCCTTTTTATTAAAAACGGACCGTTAGATGAATTGGACGACTTGCATCTCCCTGATAAGTGCTCTTATCAGCACACCTAGCACCAACTCGGGCAGTTGAAAAAAAAAACAAAAAAAAAAACAAAACAAAGAGAAGACGAAGATATTGCGAGGAAATGCGAGCTCTATTGTTGGAGGAGTCGAAGAGGCCCCAAAATCCGAGCGGCCGCAACCTTTTGTCTGTCGCTAAATGGGAAGCAGTGTGACCTATCCAGACTTTTTTTCTTTTTTTTTTTTTGGGTCTTTTTTTTGTGTGTGGGTCGGACACTATTTTCCCAAATCGGGCTCCCATTTTTTTAAGAAAATACGATTTTGGGTACGCAGTGTGAGGGCGTACTCACGCTAGCACTCTCTTAAATGCGTCTGACGGCATTTACGGCCCAGCCTGTATGCATCTGGCTGCTATTCGGTCCAAAAATAAGTCAAAAAGTGAAAATGTGAGTATGCCCTCATACTCAGCCACATACAGTGAGGGCACGGGWGCACAGCCTGTAGTTTGTTTGTTGATGTGCTCCCCGCACCAATGTGGAAACATCACGAAATTCGACATATGTCAGGAAATTTTTGACATTCCCTCTTTTGAGAAAAAAAAAAAAAAAAAAAAAAAAAAAAAAAAAAAAAAAAGACAGAAAAACCCTCTTCGCCACACAGCATGTCGAAGTGAAGAACTCACCAGTCTTATGCACAAAAGAGACAAACTGGGGTGAAGATAGGACAAGCGTTGGTGCGTTCTTTGACATCCCATCCGAGGACTGTTGAAAATGTCCAAGTTGCAGGCCTGAAGTGGAAACGAGCCCTTGGGTCTCGCTCCACTACTGTCCGCTATACACAATTTTGTATAGTTGCCGTATAGCTGTCAGACTGCGAAAAAATGTATAGAACCCGGCGTCTCTCCACTTACTATCTGCTATACCAAGTCTCCAGTTCCTGAGTTCACTACCCAACACCCTAAAAGCACTAGAAGACAGCAATTCGTCCGTCCAGACTTGAGGTTCACCATACAAAAACGCAGCGGGTCTGTGGTTTCCTTTGAGGAGAATCCGAGTAACGACTTTTGCAGGCTGGGAACTATACACCGACGGAGAGTGCAATCTCCGACCGATATCTGACAGCTATCCAAGCTATTTGGCATGTGTATAGTATACAGTAAGTGGAGCGATGCCAAACTCTCCAAATACGGAGAGTGTATAGTAGTGGAGCGAGACCCCTTCTCGAGAGGAGGTGTCAAAACCCTTTCCCTGACAGCTCCTGATTTTTTTTTTCATCTCGGATTTCGACATGCTGTGTGGCGAGGAGAAAATGTCGAAAATGCAGTTTTCGACATTGGTGTGTCGAGGCCCTAAGGTATTGATTATGCTGTGTATGTTTTGTCATGTTCTGTATACACAACTCGAAGAGTGCATGTGTGGGGCGTCCCGACTGGCGCTTATTCACGATGTTCATGGGACGGTGGACCCAGTTTCCAGCAGGTGCCGCTCCCCATCAACATCAATAGACAGGAGAATCTGTGTGTGCGCGTGTCCGCCGTGTGTGTGCGTTGTCATATTCGCTTTACACTCAAAAAAAAGCATGACTGTGCCAGACTGTTTGTGTGTGTGCGTGTGTGTGCGTGTGTGTGTGTGTGTGTGTGTGTGTGTG